TGCCGTGCAAGTTAAATTAGACTTCAAGCCTAAGCGGGTTGACTACGCAGGACTCCGGTCCGGCCGCACGACTGAGTTTATGAACTTCTTCATCCTGGACGGCGCCGACATGGTGCTACGACATGTGATCATCTACGGAGTGTCCGGATTCGACCGAATGGGCCAAACTCTCAACGACATCTGGATGCCAGATGTCAAACAGAACCAACTGCCCGGTGTGCTCGCTGGTCTTGCGCCGATCCGCTCCCTAGTCAACGTGGGTGGCGGCGTGCGCGACCTAGTCGTCGTCCCGATGCGCGAATACAGAAAGGACGGCCGAATCGTGCGCAGCATCCAAAAGGGCGCCTTAGCTTTCGCCAAAACTACTTCCAACGAGCTGGTCAAACTCGGCGCCAAACTCGCCATTGGCACACAAACTGTCCTCCAAGGCGCAGAGGACATGCTAACTACCCCCAAAGCACCAGCCTTCGACGATTCCCTCGATGAAGACGAAGCAAAGAAGATCTCGTTGTACGCTGATCAGCCAGTCGGGGTGGTACAGGGACTACGTGGGGCGTTCAGCGGTCTCGAGCGCGACCTGCTCCTGGCACGCGACGCGATCGTCGCCGTACCTGGCGAGGTGGTTGAGAGTGGGAGCGCCAAGGCCGCAGCAAAGGCCGTCTGGAAGCGTGCGCCCACGGTCATCCTCCGACCCGCTATCGGAGTGTCCAAGGCCGTGGGACAAACTCTGCTTGGTGCGGGAAATACCCTTGACCCGAGTAATCGGCGCAAGATGGAAGACGTAAGTGCTCTGTTTCCCATGTTTTGGCTATGACTAACTACTGTTTTAGAAGTATAAACGGTACTGAGAGGGGATCTACACCTTGCATACTCCGTACATACGTGCATGGTCTATGGTCCCTTTTTCTTCATTTTCTGATTTTCATTTTCTGATCTCGCTTTTACTTTTTTTTTTTTTTTTTTCTCATTGCTTCATTCGATACCACATCACTAGCGCATCATCTTAAATTGCTCTTTCATTTTGATACTTCAAGTCATTTTTAGCTTCTGCATGACCAGGGAGTTTGAATCAAGAGGGATCTTTGTCCAGATCTAATTCTACGGATCCACCAAGTACCAGAAGAAGGGTGTCGATCGCAGTTCCTAAGAACGCGGTAGCATCCGATACTCCTTCGGGCAGTTACCACCCATTAATCTGTACCCGTAAACTCCCACGGCCTTGGGAGATTGCGAAGTATGGATCACCGGGGCCTGGGGCAGCGAGGCAGGAATCCGTTTAAATTACGTGCATCATGCATGTGAAACACAAATCTGGGGGTTGTAGTCGTATTGCAGCATAACTATTTAAATCGAGATGAGTTGGCATGTCGATCTGTACTCTGTACCCCGTACAACGTGTATATGCATGTGTGCCTTGTTTGTTCCAGGTACGAGGTACAAGATGCCCGACCATGGATCAAAGAGTGAAAGAGTAATCTAGTCCAGGCAACCATTCTAGGGAGAATTATCTCTCGAAAGTCGGAAATGATTGAAATGATTGAATCACATGACCTAGGAATTTCCCCTTACGGGCTGCATCAACGGTGCATCACTGCAAATATGTCTCCATACCGAAGATATACCATGGGTTCTATCCACCTGCCTTGGAAATCCGACACGAATGACCAAGTCATGATGTTGGCAGTGGAGACGAAAAATCTCTTTCAATTGCCACATTTACATTTGAACCGGGTAGCCAATCATGGGTGTTACAACAGCCACAGCCCAAAGGTGGTTTTTTTTTGGCCTCAGCCATGATCTCAGACTGGGCTTTGTTCTGTACGCCGACTGGTTCTGGGCTTAGAGGGGCGTTTGGTGATGATTGTTGATTTGGTGGGGATGATTGGTTGAAGATGGAGACGGGAGGGTGGACACTAATGAGTGACTAGAGTGACTAGAGGGTTACTAATATGTAGATCGAGGCTGAGATCATCTGCAAGTGATTTTGGGCATGGGCAACAACCCTGGGCAACAATCCTCAATCACATTGTTCTTTGTATATTATAGGGGACAACCCTATTCAAATCAAAAAATCTTCTGACCGACTTTTTCCAGATGACGTTGACCAGTTGACGAACCATGGGTCTCGTGAACAAGAGGGTCTGGAACTTCTTTATTATTTTTTCTCTCTTTTCTATTCTTCTCTTCTTTTAATAGACTTAATTGGACCGGGCCTACTCGGCTTCCCCGTTAAACTGGTTCGACTGGTTACTTCATGGAATATAACGTGGGTATAAGGTGGATATACTACTAGTCTACAATCCAGGTACAATTCCGTTCGTCCCCCTTCCATTTTCTCTCTCATAAAATTGCTCTTCCTGCACCTCTGTACCTTGCAGTGTTTATTGTGATCTATTCATCTCTTGCGACACCCTATCTACTCCATCCCTTGCGGCGTAAATCTGACGAATCAAGTTCAGTGTGGAGAAGTGGGTTTGGATCTACTGCATCGGATATGTCGACAATCTAAAAAGGTCCGAGAACAGAAAAAGAAGCAGGACTTCAAAAAGACGATATCAATGAGATTCGCACAAAATGAACGAAAACCTCAACTATTCCGCTGCCAACGATACATGGCACGGCGAGCTGCTGGACAGCCCCATCTGCCAAAAGTGCCTCGAAATACATGACCATCATGCATGTACTCCTCTCTCCAAACCCCTTTCGGTAGACTCGGCAGACGCTTTGTCCCTCCCCCCTCGATCCATCAAATCTCGTATCACCGGGGCCCTTTCTATCCATGATTACCACAAGTTCCTCTCCAAGTCTGCAGACCGCATTGGCGATCCTGTCGATCAGACAGGAAAGAAATTGAAACGAAAAACTGCTGCATTGCATTTGAATCGCCCATCCGCACTTCCCATTTCTTATCCTCTATCTATATCCTCTGTGGCATCGAGTCCTCCGCCACTCTCTCCTTCCTACTCCCATAGCATCGTCTCTCAGTGGAGTGAAGAGCCGGAGATCGGGGAAGCTCAAACTGGTAAGCTTCTCCAATTGACTTTCTTCGAATAAACCTCCGGGAATCTTTATTGACAGTTCAATAGTTCATTACCAAGCCGCCCAAAGCCCACGACTACCTGTTGTCTCGGATCTCGGGACTCGTGCTAGACCTAATAGGAAGCGATTTGTAAGTAGACTGAAACACCTCAGCAAAGAGCCAACTCACTGATAAAAGTTTCAGAATACCTTTCGTGAAAAACTTCAACAAAGGGCCCAAACTCAAGCGGAAGAAGCTGAGCGTGACTCCAAAACTCAATCTTCAGACTCAATGCTGGCTAGTACGCAGGCCGTTGCCACCGTCTCACACGGTGGCGCTTGCTTTGAGATTCTGAATCCGCGCAAGTCGCTGGATCTAGCACGCATCGTCTCATATATTGAAGATGTCGACAATTGCTCCGTCTCCACAGACAATCAGCGAGACTCTACTTTCTCCATCGAACAAGGACTGGACCGGGTGTCCCTGTCCCAATTCACCGATGCCTCATTGCCATCATTTTACTCAAACAACTCGTTGTATACATCCCTCCCAGACCCCTCAACACCCAAAGGTCAACAGACGGACATGGCATCGTCTTCCCCGGGAATCCACGACCACATCCGGTCTCTATCAGACTACTCTGTCAATGAACAAAGTTTCAACTACTGGAGCCGACCCGTACATCTACATCAAACTGAGAACAACGATCTGCGCATCAATACATACAACCACCCAAGCAGCGACAGAGACTCCCCACAATCACCACACATGTCACCACACATGACCTCTATCACAGAAGAATCCAACCTCCCAAATCTAGACTTCTCCCACCGACCCTCAACCCCATCAACGCAAACCTTCTACTCAGAAAGCGAGATCGGCGAGCCCGGCTCCCCTGTCTACGCCAACGGCGACTGGGCCCAAGTCGACGACCGCGACAGAGGCATCCTATTCGATCTACAAGAAGACGAAACAACACCCGACCACCACGACTTCTCATTCTCACAAGAACACGAACCACAAACACCCCGTGAAACCCCCCTCGACACTCCAAGTGGCTCTCCCATGCAATCACCCATCTACTCTTCCTTCGACTCCGCTTACCCTTACCCAACCTCCATCTCCACCTCCAAACTCCCCCACTACTCTGCCCCCTTCGATCCATACACCTACGACCCGGTGTACCTCGACCCACACGTCCAGTCCGTTCTCGCAGCCGCGAACGCCGAGACGATGGGGTTACGGGGTAGTCCTGCACGCGCACTGGATGAGCTGCAGCGAGGGGCGCGCGCTGGCGAGACCAGTCCGCGATTCGAGTTCCAGAGGAGAAAGAGTGATGAGAGAAAATCTGGGGCGCAGAGGAAGGGGTTGAGGAAGTTTTTTAGTTGGAAACATGGGAGTTAGGCAGTTCTGAGAACTTTGTCTGTTACTTCTGGAATCGCCAGCTGGCTGTGTGTGACTTTTGGACCGGGAATTCGGTTATAATTTACGTCCATTGTGATAAGAGCGTGGCGCTTGGGTGTTGGATTGGATGGACTGGCTGGATACGAGTCTGGATTCTTTTCTTTTGTTCTTTTTCTTTTTTGGGGGCATTCTTCTACCTTGTCCTTTTTTATTACTTTTTATTACTTCTTCTATTCTGGGTCTGAGACTCATATTGTATCTATATCAATTTATATTCGACGCTTGTCAACATTCCGGATTTTTTCAATTTCGAACCCATCGATTGCGTCTTGGAAGAAAAGTAATTTGTAAATTGTTGATGCTGACAAGAATTCATAAGCAACAACCATAACGACCATAATCAATCAGTATACGACTAGGGATATACTACAACCAAGGAATGTGTCAGAATTCTAGATCGATCTATATGTAGACATTCTGGTGGCATGATCATCTCAATGGAATGAATGTTTCTTAAGGGTATCAAAATCGAGTATATACAACTCCATCCATAGAATCCAACACCTAAACCCAACATTCAATCATCATCCCTCTCAACCATCGACGCCAAAGCCGCACTAACAAGACTCTTCCTCCTAAGCCCCTGCTCATTCCTCTTCCCCGCAAACGCCCCATAATGACTCTTCTCAACCCGACTCGCCAGAACAGCCCCAGAAGAACTCTTCCTCCGTCTCCCCTCCACACCCCCCTCAGGCCCAAACCGACTCCTCGCAAGCGTAACCGCCCTCCTCCGCGGCGACGACCGAGGCGGCAACGAACTAGGATGACAATCGTCTTCGTCGCAGAAGTCCCCAGAAACAGGAGACGGTTCATCCAGCAACGAGCGCTGCATAGCCTCCACCTCCAACTCGTTGCATTGCAACCTGGAGATCTGCTGGCGCTGCATGCGCACGTCTTGGTGGTACGGATGCGGTTGCGGGTAGAAGGGGTGTCCGAGGCCGAAATCTGGTAGTTCTGAAAGCATGTCCGGGGGATTGAAGGTTGGGCTTGTTGTTGATGAGCCGGAGGGGGAGGAGTAGCAGTCGCCGATACTGTCGTCTGAGTGGTCTGTGTCTGGGGGTGTGAGGACTGTTCGGACGCCTGGGTACCGGCGTGAGCCGGGTGTGTGTCTCCCGTCTCTGGGTCTGGGTTGGGTCTGCTGGGATTGGAGTTTGTCTGTTGGTGCGAGGGTGTGTTCGTGTAGTTTTTGGGTTAGGGTTGAGATGGAGAGACGTTTGTGGTCTGAGTCATAGGGGAAGGGGACGGATGTTGGGGGTTGTTGGTTTCGGTGGAAGTGGGAGCGGGTGCGGGAGATGTTGCGGAATCGTTGCGATTGTGGTGATGGACAGCGCGAGGAGAGGGGAGAGATTAGATTGCTGTCGCTGTCGACCATTAGGCGGTCGTCGGCATCGAGGGCTAGACGGGAGGGTCGCGAGGACGGCGAGGTGAAGGAGAAGTCTTCGAACATTTTGTCCGATACTTGGTGGACTCGGGCGACGGGGTTTCCGAGTGGATATAAAGGATGGGATGTATGAGGTTGTTTGATCTGCGTTTCCTTTGAGTGCCGATGTGGTTGGGGGTTGTCGGCCTTTTGAGGGTTGCGATGTGCGTTTCGTATCGGGGATTGACCACCTACACTCAAGAGGGTACACGGGTGCGTACAACGTATGGTCTTTGATTGATTATATCGGCGATTTTATTTGCCCCTCGGAAAAAAATTGATTGTTCGACCACTGGTTGAGGTTGAGGCGAATGTCCACGTGATCGGGAACCACTATGCCGCATAAAGCCACACTTTAGTATGGACAGGGGTGTTTGTGGATTTTTTTGGTTGATTTTGGTTTTTGTAACAAAGTAGAGGGTTTAGTGGAATTTCGATGTCAGATTAAATGAATGTATACGTCGCTTTTTTCGCGTTCAGATCCCTGCAAGTCTATCAAGACCCTGGTTCTTAAGTGCATGTCGATCCTCATGTGGATACCCGTGCCCTAACTTAATATGCATCCGGGACTACGAGCCGTGGACTCTATAGATAGTATGGTAGTATAGTAGCTAGTATTGGCGATATATATATTCAGTTTTGTGTTCTTTGTTTGATTTCTTGACAATTCTCTAGGTCTGTCTTCCATGAGAAGTGGAATCTCCCTGCAAAAACGATCAGATACTTCGTATATATATTTGACATGTCTACAACATCCTACCTGCTAAACAACACTTATCCTTATTTTTTTATTCATCTATATAGTTTTTATACATATGTGTAGTACTAGTCTCTTCGATTATGGCGGGCAAGTTGATTTTCTAGTGTGGGCGTGACTGAATAGACAGCAAGTTGAGCGAGACAGGCTGTTAGCACGTCTCGACCATTCCTTGCGAGTAGACAGACTGTTATCTCACTTCTCACCATCCTCCACAACTTTGTCACTCTCATAACTACTTCATCCTAACTATCTCGATTTCATCAAATCTACCTGCGAAGATGACCGAAAACATAATGGAGAAGGGCAACGAGGCTGAAAACGCCAATGAAGACACAGTTATGGCGGACGAGGTCAACACCACCGAGGACGCAATCAAGGATCCCGCACCGGAGCAGCAGCAACAGAAGAAGAAGAAGAAGAAGAAGAAGAAGAAGAAGAAGCGAGTCAGGTCGCAGGCTTCATTTGACCGGCGTAAAGAGCGCGCCCGTCTCCGCAGCATGGGTCTTCCCGTTGTAAGTGGGCCATTCAATGTCTCATGGCAGTACCTTGGAGTATCAAACTAATATATTGGTATTTAATAGCCCACTCCGCCGCCCCAACAAGTGTGTGACCCGGCCTTACCACTCGAGCGCAAGCGCAACAAGAAAAGGGCCAAAAAGGCCAAAAGTTGTGTCCCTACAAATGCCGATACCGAGTCTAATACTAACAGCTAATAGAAGCTGCCTACGAAGCAGCTAAGCGGGCTGCTAAGCAAGCCGAAGAGGGACCCGTAGCTGCAAGCACCTCTCTTCCCGCCAACGCTCACCCCACAGCTCCTGAGAACGATACCGTTATCATACCTGATGTTGAAGATGAGAGGATGGAAGATGACAATGCTGAGATGGATTTGGACCCAGCACCCACCATGACTCTTGTGTATCGGGGTAAGACAGGCTGAGTAGTGATAGCGGGTCAATCAGAGTTGGCTGGGCTCTCGGTATCATGGGATCCTGAGATCTCACGGTTCTAATATGTGCTGTATAACTGTGGTTCATACATCAGAATTAAAAGGAAATAGCTAACTAGGGCTGAGTCTAAAATGGACAGTTGATATGTACCCATTTCAAATGCATTATAAGACGACTACCACACTGTTGTTGTAAAAAAGAAAGTTGACGAACCCAGTAGGGGGATGGCGTACATCAGCCTACAACTTGCGGTCTGAGGATTCGAACCCATGTGAGGTGGCCTAATTAGGTAGTCTAGAGCAGGTATGGCTCATGGTCAACTTACCAACTAGACTACCTCGGGTTTGCTGATTATTATTACACTGACTCTTATATTTAACTAACACCCTTACCATATTCCCTATTCCCTCCAAGTTATGGTTTCTAAGGCTTGGTACCCATTTCAAACGCATTGTAAGACGACTACCACACTATTGTTGTAAAAAGAAAATAAAAAGTTGATGAACCCAGCAGGGGAATGGCGAACATCAGCCTACAACTTGCGGTCTGAGGATTCGAACCCATGTGAGGTGACCTAATTAGTTAGTCTAGAGCAGGTATGGCTCATGGTCAACTTACCAACTAGACCACCTCGGGTTTGCTGATTATTACTACACTGACTCTTATATTTAACCGATGCCCTTACCCTATTCCCTCTAGTTATGGGTTCTAAGATTTAGTAGACGAATTATTATCTCGTTACTCTCACCTCTCTCACCTCGTCTCATTTCACTCTTAGTTCACTTCTATCTCACTTCTTTCTCACTTCCCTCTCATTTCTGTCTCGCTTCCCTCTCTTCCATTTTATCTCCACCTTTATTCCAGCCATCGTTGTCTCATCAGATCTAACTCTTCTACGATGACTGAAAACAGCAGAGAAAGATGTCTGGTCTTACAATATTTCGGTATATGATAGTGTCTCCCTCCCCATGTGCGCGACCCCACCTCTACCATTCAAGGCTAAGCAGTCGTGAGCTGCAAGCACCTCTGGTTACGAAGCATGCTTGTTCCAGAAGCTAAGGGAGTTTTCAGTCAGATGAAAAGAGAAGTTCGGGTGCGATGAGGTCATGAGCCAGAACCCATCATATCCAGAGGACCAGGAGAGCTTGGACCTCACTACTCCGGAGGAAGAGGCCGTCCAGGCCCAGATCAAAAATCATCACGCGCAGAGTCTGGAGAGAAAGAAGATCCTGCAGGAGATGGAATAAATTTTCCCACCGACACTCCCCCTATGACTCTCGAGAAGAGTATCATGCCCGAGGCTGAAGATCAGAAGATGGAAGAAGACGATGTTGAGACTTGGGCCCGGCGGAGCCATGACTCTCGTCCATCGGAACAAGACATCTGGTTGAGTGATGGCGGAGACTCTCCTGTACCATGGCTTTATTTATAGTGTAGCCTCGAGTCATACGTTCAATCGAATTTATACTTCTTGACAACGGCCCTCTACCAGTCTTTCTACTCAAAGGCTTGTTACGTATCTTTGTTGACTCTTCCATATGGCCTTGTGGCAAGTTCTTGTCCACACGTATATAGCCCTTCACTGTAGGAGCTACAATTTACATATATAGGTAGTCGAAGTTATGGACTCCTGAACTCTCACTAAAGAATTATAAGATCGTGGTCCTGATAGGTGCGAGCAAAATTCGTTGGAATAAAAAAACACTGGCCGACATTGGGAGTTTCCAAAAGAGACTGTCTATCTACAAACGCATTTTACATGACAACGCTGTTTTGACAAGAAAAAAGGCAACCAACCCTATACGGGTTCAAACTCAGGGGTGTAACTTAGAGGGCAGTCTTGAATGGATAGACCTATTCGTGCGCGATCTACCAACTAAGCTATCCCTGAGTTCTGTGATTACTATTACACTGACTTTAATATTTAACCGACACTTAGATCCCCTTCCTCTCTACTACTTCTCAAAGTGCCCCTGATAACCCTTTCCTAGATGCCTTCGTACATGTAATTTTGTACACCAAGTTTGTCTACAGTTCAGGAAGCTATGAGTATTTGTACATATACACACTAAGTCCTTTTGATTGGAAGATTTTGGTATGATTTGGTGAACCATTGTAGCTGGTCCTACGAAATCAGTTAACCATATCTCTTAGATTTCTCTGCAGTGAACACAAATTGAGGCCTCCATCGAGCCAAGCACTAGATATTGAATCTAAATGGGACTCTAACTTGTCAAATAGTCTTGGACGCTACGTAGTAGGGACCAGAAGAAAAATATGAAGGGAGTTGTATTGGAAAGGAAGACGAAACTACTGAACTATCTATCTTACGAGGGTTGTGACGACCTACCCAAGGCACACACACTCCAACAAACAGACCCTCTGGGTCCACGGTCCCAGACCCACTTTCCAGTCTCAGACTCGTAGTTGTTATCACCGGTCTTCGCTTTGGGTTCCCCAACACCGTAAGTCCCAGCACTAGTAGTAGAAGGCTGAATCAGCGCATGGCAGATTCAGGGGTGGCGGGCGAGGGTGCGGCGGGGGAGGGCTAACAGAAGCCGAGACCGAGACAGCCTCAGGGGCATCGGCACTCTGGACAACGGAGGGCTATATCAATCACAATGTTAACTCAGATCAAGTTATACGTAGCGAATAGGAAAAGCAAGGAAGGTGAGTAGCCATCCCAACAACTGGGAACCCCCGGAAGACTCGACAGGTAGAGACCAGATAAGATACGAGTACTTACAACGTCAATCCACTGCTGACGCAGATGACGGCGAAAGCTTCGATTTATTTTCCAATTATTCTTGTCCTCCCTCGAGAATCGCCTTCCATGACGATAGTCATGATAATGGGTGGGATCAGTCAATTCTGCTTAGGAGGAAGCGCAGGGTCTGGCTGACCCTGAATCATGAATGACTGTAGCAACCGATTGTTAGTTGGATCAAGCTATTCATAGTGGGGATGTGGAAAGAGTTGGAAGACAGTCGACATCCCGACAACTGGGGACAACCAGGATATTCTACAGGTTGGGTCCAAAGAAGACCGAGTACTTACCACGTCAATTCCTTTATCACACAAGTACCGGCGGAAACTGGGTTGCGTTTCATTTTTTTTCAGCGTTTCATCCGGCGAAGGAGAGCGTTTCATGTAGGAAATAGAGATGAGTGGAGGAAATAGTGAAAGAGAGGGATCGATGGGAAATATCTCCTAGGGAACACTGGTCCTAAGTCAACGTCGATGAACGTTAAGATTGAGAAAGGAACGTCTGAAGAAAATAGGAGAGGGGAGGAGAAAGGGCTATCTTTAGGCGAAGGGAGAATCGTGCGGAGAGAACAGGAGAGAAAGAGGAAAGTACAACTGCCGGGGACTTCGAATGAATAAATAGACTACGTCGTATCTTACTACTTACTAGAGCGAGAGATGTTTGAGGTACAAGGTATACTCACACGGCCCGTTTTGCCTCAAAAGCTAAAAAAGAATAAAGGGCGGGAAAATGACCAAAATGTAAAGCAAGAAAGATGACGGAAAAAAAGAGGTGACGAACCCAGCAGGGGTAATGGCAAACATCAGCCTGCAACTTGCGGTCTGAGGATTCAAACCCGCGCCGGTGACCCCGAGGTAGGCTGGGACTGCCCGGGTCCGTAAGCGATCTACCAACTAGGCCACATGGGTTTGGTGATTTGATTTTGATATATAACCAACGCCTCCCAGTCATATCACGTGACTGGCTTGCCCTAGAGCGATTACAATATTATTTTGCTTCTTACTTCTTTCTTTAATGATGCTGTATAAAATGCAACTATGACCTAGAGATTATAATATACCAGAGTACCTAAGTTTTTTGCATCAGTATTGATTCATATACCGTGGTATATTCATCCAAACAAGATATAGGGATTATAGAAAAGGGAGGGCTTGCAGAAGTAAAGGCTACGGTTTTAGAGATGGGTAAAGCATGCCTCTGGTCCCTAGATATAGCTCACCCCAGCTACCTTGACTCTTTATGTCATCTGTCCGCTATCTATATCCCAAAAACTGGTATAGCTCAGGCTTATAACAATGCTTAAATAAGGAACAAGAAATAAATGGAAATGGGAAAGAGAACAAATTTGTATCCAAGAGACGTGCAGACCAACTTCTCCTTAAGTGAAGAGGGCCGGGTAGTCTCACGCTGAACAAAACAGAAACAAGGAGGCTCATGCTTAGTCAAAGAGCCCTTCAGAGGGCCATTCTAGAGGTCCCTCCAGCTCATCAAATAGACCCAGAGGGTCCACAGGATCGCAAACGTATTGATTGGCGGCCTCTATCTTAGCTACTGTAGTGCTTTGAGTGCCAACATGAGGAGCGGAAGGTTTGGCGGGCTCTGGGGCTGGCAAAGACGGGACAGCAGGGGAAGACGGGGCAACAGGCAAAGACGGGGCTGCAGGCGAAGACACAGGAGCGGGCGAGGGAAGAACAACAGGCGGGGAGGCGGCAACAGGCGACGAGGAGCTTGAACTGGTTGCCTCAGCCGCAGGAGAAGCAGCAGAACTCGACAGGACATTGTCCTCGTCAGTGGCGGCGGCACCGCCAGCTGCCAACTCTTTCAGAATATTAGCTCCTAATCAGTAAGAAATGTTATTGCGACACTTACTCTTTTTCTTGTTCGCCCTTCTTCGGTTCGGCCGGCGGTATGATCGTTTACGCTTTGGCGGCAGGGCGGAGTCACGCGTGCGAGGGACGACAGGAGGCTTTATAAATCGAATGTCAGTTTAGGCTAGTTCATACACGAGGGAGATGGTATATGGGAAGGAAGCCCGTAGGTATCCCGACAGTCGGAGACAATCAGTATGTTCGACAGGTTGGAACTAGAGCAGTTATGAGTACTCACAACTTCAATGCCCTGCTTGCGCAGGTACCGACGGAGACTGGGTTTCCGTTTTGCTTTGCTTGGGGCTTCCCCCGGAGAACGAGGTTGTTCCATGATGTTACGAGATAAATGAGTATTGATGTTGATGGAAAGGTGGGTGCGATGAGACACGAAGAGAGAAGAAGAAGAAGAAGAAGAAGAAGAAGAAGAAGAAGAAGAAGAGAAAGTTCCCACGCGTGGGGGGTTTGAAAAGATGAGCAGCTTCCTTGTTGACTGAGACCTCTTTGATTGCAGATGTGGGAAACTCTTCAGGTTGACCCCGATCTTCTTTCCAATAAACAACTGTTTGCCTCAGCTATCGGAGTGAATATGACCCTGGCATATATTTCCTAGCAACCCCTTCAGCTACGATTCTTTCTTTGTTCTACTCTACAAGAGTGCTAGGCATGAGTCTGTAACGCAAAGAGAGTTTTGTTTCTGACATTTTTGTATGTATTCTGCCATTATTTGAGCAGGCCATATCTTGCATTGGAAGAGAGCACGAAGCCCACCTGCTCATTATGTATATGGCAAAACAGAAGCCTTGATCTTGGTCTCAGTTCTATTTTATGGTGACATGGACTTGGAAACATCCCATGACGCCTATATACTAGACCTTGAAGCCCACCAAAAAGCCCACCCAACAAATTCCAGATATTAGATCTGAGTGAAGTAGCCAAAACTTGAATGCCATATTATCTTGGTTGGCTCCAGGATAAGTGCAGGGAACCAAATCAAGTTGAAGCATTGGAACATCCAACCCATGTCCTGCTCATGTTATCAGATCTATCCACATCGCGATATGATAGCCATCCGGAGGCAGGTTTGGTCGCAAGGTGACAGCGGACATGGTCCCAAGCTCCATTGTGCCAGTGACTCATGGAGATGCTCCATATATACCTCACTATTTGTTCCGCCAGTTTTGTTAAAGAAAGTCTCGCTTTCAGCTCACGGGAAGTTGGAGCTTGTTGGCAAGTCTGCAGATGTGGAAGGACTCGAGACGACAGAGGACGCGTATTAGAGTGTAACTATTTAGCAAAATCATCAATAGAAGGCGGTCTCTTCGGAGAAATAATGATACTCATAGCATGGCGATTCCTTTGACGTTTCAATCCAATGGCAGCATGTGTGGTGGGCACACAGAGTATCCTATTCGGAGGATTGGAAACCGCTACTAAAGATTTCTCGTCATGGCAGATGGTGTTTCGTCCCATCTGGCAATGGAATCATCTTCGAGAAACTCCCTAACTGGTAGTCAGCATATGGACATCTGGGGAAATTCTTGACAAAATTTGATGGCTGACGAATGAATTTGTAGGTGTGTGTGTGTGTGTGTGTGTGTGAGAGAGAGAGAGAGAGAGAGAGAGAGAGAGAGAGAGAGAAGGTGAGCAAAAAACATTGGAATAAGAGGAAAGGGAGACAGCGAGCATGAGCAAACAAGCCAGACTGAGGTTTGTGCCTACACTACGACGGTGTATAGCGCCCAATGCCAAATGCCAGAATTTAATGCCTAGGTTCCTTATTTGGCCTAACTTATGCCTGAATTCTGCCTTGTTTTAGACCACTTTTAGGCCTCTCTATAGTTACGGTGCTATAACCAACTCGCTAGTTATAGAATAACTAGGCGCCGTTAACCCATAGAAATAAGCCTTTCATCTCCATATAAATCGAGAAATCTCCTTTTTTTTTTAGACTTGCAAACCACCCAGAATATGGAAATGAAAAGCTTTCAAAATCGTCCAAAAACATGGAGATACTACCATTTGTATAGGATCAAAGGCTTAATTCAGGCATAAGTCAGGCCAAAATAAGGCACCCAGGCATAAAAATCTGGCATTTGGCATTGAGCGCTTTACACCGTCGTGTCTACGCCTTTCACACGCTCTACTTTTTGCTCTGTGCGAACCGAGAAAGAGCATCACAGATATAAACCCAAATTCGGGACAAAAAATGTAGTTAAATTACCTTTAATATGTGCAAAAGTATGTAATCTTCATGTGAGGTACCAAAGATCTTGGGTCATGCTCTGTCCTGGTCATTGCATCTGCATATGGTGCAATACTCGCACACATTCCTCCACAACCACAAGCAACAAATAATCCAACAAGTGGTGATGCCAATGTTCAATCAATGATGAATCAGGTCGGCACGCTATATCGGGATAAGCGACAGTTTTTTTCCTTCTGCCGAAACGGTCGTTATATGTGTAGTATTCCGAGGACAAGTTGCCTTGCCAAGCCAGCTCGATATCATGCAAATGAGCCTAATTGGGCTTGGGCTGACCACTAAAATAATTTCCTATGAGGTGCCCGGAAACTCTACTATTATGGGGAAGGGGATAGTAATTGTTATCAAAAAGCGTGATTATGTGAAGCCAAAGATCCTTGTGGAGGATCGCCATGTGAATCTATGATGTGCCAATCCAAATAAAGGAGATCCAATTTATGTGGAATTGAGTGAATTTCTCGAGAGCCATTCAAAATTAAAATTAAAATTAAAGGAAGATTGACGATAGGGTCATTAACCACGGAAATATTGCGTGCAGACCGTTGACCGTTGCAATTTATGCGGAGTTTATGGGTCTGAGGTATAGGGCTTGGGTGGCGGCAAGGGGAAGGCGGTGTGCAGATCGAGTGGAATGCCGTCCCCCTTCGAGACCTTAGACAGCCAGGTCCTTCTCTGTTACGTCTCTGTCACGGCAGCTCACTCCCTGCACCTAAGTATTCGACCATGTCTGCTTATCTCGCCCCTAAAAAGGGCTATATGAGCCGGGTTGGAACTCCCCCTCCGATTCCAGCAAAGACGCTCTTGTCAGCCCACCAGTTACCGGAACTTGGCGAGCAACAGTTGCAAGAATGCCTTGATCGCACTGTCCGTGATGGTTGTGATATCCGCCATTTCTATGAGGTTATGCTTGGTGCGATTAGGTCAAACAAGGTGTATCTCGTGAAGGAGCTACTCCGATATAAAATACCTGTCTCGCCAATCTATATACTCGAAGCTGTTAAGGTAAAGGCGAAAGATATCCTAATAGCCTTCTTTGATAACGGCTGGGATATTAACACGCCAATGAGTGGCATAGACCCCCCTATTCTTACGTGAGAACACCTATATTCTTGTAAAAGTTGCTAGCTGAATAACATTCGTCTCATTTTAGCAACGCTCTCGAGGACCTAGAGATGACAATATGGCTACTTGATCGTGGCGCAGATCCTAATATGCGATGTGATATCGATAATACCCCGCTCTCTTATGCCGTTAGATATGCCGATTTGTCAACCATTAATCTTCTCCTACGCCGTGGTGGTGATGTCAGAATAGGCCAGCTTGTGCATAATGCGATTTATCGAGAGCCCGACACCCTTAAAGTTGTCGAAATCCTACTTGATCGGGGTGCTTCTTTGAATTCTCTTATGTACCAAGACCATCAATATTCTCGCAACATGTTTCCTTTTATGGGGGAAACTCCTCTGCACACGGCAGTGGCTCTTAAAAGATATAACGTCATCCGTTTTCTGATTCACAAAGGTGCAAGTGTGAAAATCGAAGATTACAGGGGTCAAACAGTGATGCAATCCGCAGATGAAGACACCAGGAGAATGATTATGCAAGAGATTCGGAACAGCAGCACCTCACACGCATCTTCGTGATATGTTTACTCTTCCGGCAAAAGTCGACTACACGTTGAAATTAGATATTTGGCTATCAACAACGTTTATAGCAGTTATATATATCCACCCATCCTCTTCTTTCTTCACCTCGTCTCTTCATTGCCTCCTACGATTGTGCGAGAGTTGGGCCGATGTTATAGTACATAGTTGGTGATCCAATTGCTAATATATGCGCTTCTCGCCAAATGTCATCACGAACATGTCTACGGATTTTGATCACTCAAGATCTTTGCATAAATCGGCGAACAGACACATAGTTGGCTTCTTATAAATATAGCCAATGAAATTCTAAAGCTCTTAGTCCTGTTGTTTTCAGGCCTCTGTGCTCTCTGCACATGTCTAAGATAGTAAATGGCCTCATATTCATTCTTCGCCCAGTCTCCGCTGCAGGCATGGATACAGCGGTAAGTGTTATCACCCTTCATTAGGATATCGCTGACAGGTGTGAGTAAGATGTCGTCCAAAAAGTAACAGCCCTATAAATGCCCTTACGTACGTTAGCACTGGACCACCACCAGTCATTCGGCGAATGTCAGATTTATTTCGAATGCACCGCTATTCAATGCTAGTATATAATTGACTCGATAGAGCGGAGCCCTTTTTTGTATGACACTCGGCTCGCTGACCCTTAGTCCTTGTTATAAAATTCATCCACTATCCGCCCGGCTTCTCGATGTCCACCGCGTCGTTGCGGTTATAATGAATCTTAGTAGCGTAGATGAGTATATTGAGAGGGTCCTTCGGGTATGGCCCTAGCCCCTCGCGAGTTGATTCTAAACCACTACCGACTAGACTAGGAGCAGATTTGTCTAGTGGTCAAATCAACTTTGCGAGGGGTCGGGGTAAATGAAATCTACTAATCTACTACTACAACTACTACCTTGTATCTTGCGGACCTACAACTTGATCAATGATGGGTGGCTCAAAACCCTCTCTGTGTATTGATGTCACGGAGCAGCGCGTTGAGTTCATTGCTGCGATATGCCTAATAATTTCTATGCGCCACTGTTAAGATCCAAAATACAGCAAAATTTGTGCTGAACCCCATACAAAATCCGTGAGAGTCAACAGGCAAGATTAGCTTTGAGCCTCTTTGAAATAGTTGCACTACATCTCCTGTAAGGTTAAGCCTGTGTGCCGGAAGTGGCCCTCTGCGTTTTTCCTTCTTGCGCCGACGATGTCAACATACCATTCGAGGAAGGTGTCAAATCCTTGGTCCGGATTTTCTTCGTAAGAGTGCCAATTTCGCCGAATGAAGGCTTTCATTTCAGCAAAGAACTCCTCAATATGATTTAAACCTGGAGAATATGGAGGTCGGCTCGGGCCATTTCCCACAATGCTTAAGAAGCTGCGCAATAAAATTCTTAAAGACAAAAGCATCGGTTGAGCCTTAGAACACTCAAGACAAAACAATGCCATCTTGAGTATAGGCAGGCAGTATCTGATATCGTCTATCACGATGGAATTTAGATACTTGAACTGGTGCCATACCTAGTGGGGACCAACCCGTTCGCCTAAAGCCTATCCTTTTATCGCATCTAGACTCATTCATATATATAAGATCGTAAGTCTGTAAGTCAGAGATAAAGTGGAGGTATCCGTCACGCAGGTCTAAATTGCGCTCTCGGGCCTTAACTCGGGGTGAGCACTAAAACGGAAAGGGAAATCCATCTCGCTCGGCCTAAAATCCGGTGTATATGTTTTTATAGTTGCTATAGTAGCTTTACCTGATACATTTGATATAATCGGTCAACTCCAAGAATGGAGTCTGATTGACCCCAACAATGAAGATGGCGACTCCAACGAGTATGGGGTCACTAGTGTATACTTCAATGAGAAAAAGGATAGGCTGGAAGTGAGTATACAGTGCACAATGTTCATGGCAACTCGAATTATATGATACTCCCGGGGATTCGAATCTAAACAAAAGACACCTGAATATTTGCAGATACGTCTCTAAAAGAGTAAACTAATTGGAGAACATGTCGACTCCATATTGCGGGGATTGGAAGTAAACCGGGGACTATCGCGGACTACGGACTTTTGTCCGCCCACTCCACTTCTTATCAACGCTCATACTCCAACACTCCAGCTTTATAAACCGATAGGACGCCGCATTATGGCTTGTTCTCACTTTTTGCGAACTCTCCGAACGTCCCTTCAATCTTCCAAGCCTGTCTCTCTATACTCTACTCGAACGTTTTCTCCACGACAAGCTATGTTGACAACGGAGCTCTCCGAGACTGAGGTCTCTGCACTCAGAGCCAACAAGGAACGCCTGGCTCACGATCTTCACCACTCGTGTCAATGGGGATCCGGAATCAGATGGGGAGAGTAAGCTACATATATACTTTCTAAGGTTGCTGGAGAACGACCGCTAATAAAAGCCTCGGTGATTGATAGTGGACCTACAGATACTGGCATGCAGCGCCTGGCTCTTTCAGAAGACGACAAGGGTGTCCGTGATTGGTTTATCCAGACCATGAAAGATCTCAAGTGCAACGTCATTGTGGACGAGATGGGTAATATCTTTGCTGTTCGTCCTGGTCGCAGGGCGGACGTACCTGCCACATTCATTGGAAGTCATCTCGATACACAACCGACTGGTGGGCGATACGATGGTATTCTGGGCGTGTTGGCAGGTATCGAAGTCATCAAGACCATGAACGATATGGGTCTGGAGACAGAAGGTGGAGTCGGAGTTGTCGACTGGACCAAGTAAGATCCCAACTCGCAACTTGGAAAAAGGAATATCACTGACCGTTTCCAGCGAGGAGGGAGCCCGATTCCCAATCAGCATGATCTCAAGTGGTGTATGGGCCGAGTGCATCCCATTGGCACATGCGCATAATCTTAAAGAGGTGCCAACCGTGGCATCGCTGCCAACAGCGGCATCGGCACCAGAGACCATGAAGAGTGCCCTACAGAAGATTGGTTACTTGGGTGATGTCCCATGCTCATACAAATCGACGCCGATGGCCGCCCATTTCGAAGTTCATATTGAGCAAGGTCCATACCTGGTGTCGGCAAACCAGCGAGTGGGAGTTGTGACAGCCGTACAGGCCTACAGATGGTTCCGTCTCAACGTCATCGGTCGAGATACACACACAGGAACCACCGCCTTTGAACATCGAGCAGACGCCCTCTATGCATTCGCGCAAATGATGGTGCGTGCACGCGAAGTGGCAGCTTCAAAGGGTTGTCTAGCCAGTGTTGGCATTGTCGAGGCAAAGCCCGGTAGTGTGAACACAGTTCCTGGAGAGGTGAGCTTTAGCTTGGACATCCGTGGACCCGAGACAGAGTTAGTTGTCGAAGTCGAGAAGCAGTTGCGCACGGATTTCGATGCTATTGCTGCCGCTGAGGGTGCTGGTATTGGTAAGCCTTGCCGTGTCGAGTGGACTCTCGACTTCGACTCGCCTGCTGTTAAGTTCCATGAGGATTGCATTGATTGCGTGCAGCAGTCAGCTCAGGCTGTTGTTGCAGATGCTTCTGTTGCGGATACAAAGTCACTTGTACGGACCATTATGAGTGGTGCTGGTCATGACAGTGTCTTTACCTCCAAGCGTGTCCCAACGAGCATGATCTTTATCCCATGCAAGGATGGTCTCAGTCATCACCCTGAGGAGTTCTCCACGGCCGATGATTGTGCCACTGGAGCATCTGTCATTTTGCAGGCTGTGGTCCGCTATGACCGAAAGAGGTTCTTGTAAGGGCATGTGCTCGCTTTAGCCTAACAGAAAGGCCTTGTATATAGACCAAAACGTGCAGATATCTTAGTATGCAGACATGCCGACTAGCCAAGCTGTAAGACCAACACGAAGATTACGAATAGACTAATTTCAGTCAAGTCATGAATTTACCATTGAATCAATACATATCAATCCACATGAGATCTACATCATTAAGTCAATCTACATCATCAAACCAGTGGAAACATAAATTTCTTCTTTTTATTTTGTTTCCTGTATCCCCACAAGTCCCAGTAAAGCTGGAACGAGATTAGGTGCACCGAGGGTAAGGCCCGTTTCAAGTTGCCCCTAGTCCGGCAGCCGAATTCGGATACACCATCAAGACTCTAGATTGACCGAGAAGTGGTTGACAGGACACCAATGCCTCTCAGCATTTACTCCTGGGGAGCGGCACCACGGCCACGGCCGAGGCCACCACGGAAAGAGGGAGCGAACTCGCCGGGGGCACCGCCCTCCTTTCCACCCTCCTCGCGACGGCGGTAACCACCCTCGCGGCCACCACGGCCACCCTCACGGGGACCGCGACGCTCACCGCGCTGCTCCTCACCGCCCATCATGCCGCGGGGGGGAGCGTGGGAACGCTGCTGCTTGATGTGGGTGGCGGGGACAACCTCAGCGGGGAGGTGGAGCCACTCACGGAGGTAGTCCAGACCCTATTATTCGATTAGTATTCGGATACATGGACGCGTTAGATGTGGATGGATCGTACCTCGGGGGTGAGGGTGTAGTAGTAGTACTGCCACGAGAACTGAGTCTTGACAAAGCCACGGGAGTCCAGGGACTGGAGGGCCTTGATGACATAGAGGTTCTTGGTGTCAATGTCACCGTGCTTGGGAAGGTTGAAGTCCTTCTTGGCCACGAGCACTCCCTCTAGAATATAGGTTAGTGAATCCGCACATAGATAACTCGATCGTAAGTCGCAAAGTCGCGGGGACGTCGACGAGGTTTCTCGTTACATACCACGGAAGAGGTACTCGTGGATCTTCTTGCGGTCGTCCTTGGGGATAAGCCTGTGCCATTGTTAGTGAATCAGTCGGAATTAATCGCAAAAACGAGGATACGTACATTGTCGCGAGTTCCTGGTGCAAGTCGGGGAATCGCTTTGACAACGCCCGAAAATAATAGTTGATTTAAATGATGGATGAAGAGTGGAGCTTCGCAGCGAGAAAAGTGCGACGGTCCGAATTGGGTGTAGGGTTAGCACCCTAATCAATTTGTGGTTCAGGTCAC